AACATAAATGACCTGACGGAGCTGAAAAACAGCACAAGAACTTTGTGAAGTATACACAAATACTGATAGCCAAACTGATCAAGCAGAAGAAAGAATACTAGAGACTGAAGACTATCTTGCTGAAAAAAGGTAGACAAACAATATTAGAGGATAAAGAATGAAAAGGAATGAACAAAACCTCTGAGAAATATGGGACTATGTAAAAAGACTGAACCTACCACTGATTGGAGTACCCAAAAGAGATGGGGAGAATGGAACCAAGTTGGAAAACACACTTAAGGATATTATTCTTAAGGAGAACTTCCCCAACCTAGCAAGACAGGCCAACATTCAAATTCAGGAAATACAGAAAACTCCACTAAGATACTCCATGAGAAGATCAACCGCAATGGATAACCATTAGCCTCTAAATCTACACCACCACAAATAATGCTGCAACACAGGGTAACAAGTTCATAGGCTGCACAGAGAAGAGGGGCCCTGGCCTAGCCCAGGAAACCATCTTTTCCTTTTTGACCTCTGGGCCTGTGATGGGAGGGGCTGTCATGAAGTCCTCTGAAATGCCCCAAAGACATTTTCCCTATTATCTTGGGAATTAACATTCAGTTCCTAATTACTTAGGCAAATTTCTGCAGCCAGCTTGAATTTTGCCTCAGAAAATGGGATTTTCTTTTCTATCACATTGTCAAGCTGCACATTTTCCGAGTTTTTATGCTCTGTTTTCCTATAAAACTGAATGCTTTTGACAGCACCCAAGTCATCTATTGAATGCTTTGCTGCTTAGAAGTTTCTTTCACCAGATACCCTAAATTATCTGTCTCCAGTTCAAAGTTCCACACATATCCTGGGCAGGGGTAAAATGCCACCAATCTCTTTGCTAAAACATGACAAGAGTCACCTTTGCTCCAGTTCCCAACAAGTTCTTTATCTCTATCTGAGACCACCTCAGCCTGTACCTTATTGTTCATATCACTATCAGTTATTTGTCAGAGCCATTCAGAAGTCTCTAGGAAGTTCCAAACTTTCCCACATTTTCTTGTCTTCTTCTGAGCCCTCCAAACTATTCCAACCTCTGCCTGTTAACCTAGTTCCAGAGTTGCTTCCACATTTTCAGGTATCTTTTCAGCAACACCTCTACTGGCACCAGTTTACTTCATTAGTCCATTTTCACACTGCTGATAAAGACATACTCAAGACTGGGCAATTTACAAAGAAAGAGGTTGACTGGGCTTGCAGTTCCACATGGCTGGGGAGGCCTCACAACCATGAGAAGGCAAGGAGGAGCAAGTGGCAGCAGGCAAAAAGAGAGATTGTGCAGGGCAACTCCCGTTATAAAACCCATCATATCTTGTGAGACTGATTCAGTACCACAAGAACAGCACTGGAGAGAACTGCCCGTATAATTCAGTCATCTCTCACCAGGTCCCTCCCACAGCATGTGTGAATTATGGGAACTACAAGATGAGATTGGGCTGTGGTCATAAAGCCAAACCATATCACACATGAAGGGCCTTTGCAAGTAGAACTACAAACTACTCTTTTTTTTTTTTTTTTTTTTTGATCTTCAACTTGGATTTATGTCCATGATTCGTGCAAATAGCTATCCAGGAATGGACAGCCACCCTAATCCAGGCTTCTGGCACCACAGGCCGCCAGCTGCAGGGTCAAGGGGTCTGAACCTCAGGGCCTGGCAGCTTCAGGCTGGGGCCCCTCAGCAGACGTGGCTGGCATGGCCTTCTCCCATCTGTGATGGCTTCAGCGAGGCTACTGTGAGTGGAGGTGGCGAGGGCCCCAGAGTCAGAACATCCGTCATTCTCTTCTGCTCTGGAGACAATCCCACACTTCCCATGGCTCCTACCTACAGAGGGGTAGGGCTGTGCTGCGACAGATCCTGCTACAGAGCTTGAAGCAAAAAATAAACATACACACAAATTGGTCATGGCACCCAAAGGGCCTGAAGCCACTTCTGTGATGTTGTGAAGGAAGGGGGTCTTGGCCGCCCCCCACTCTTAGGATTGCTGCTGCTGGAGGCTTCTGCAGTGGATGGCAGGTCAGAACTGGATGAGGTCTCTCTTCACTCAGCAGCAGGGTAGTGAGTTTTTCCCAGTCACTCCCAGCAGAGTGCAAATGAAAGCCTTCTGGGCAGAGCCTCCCTAGTCTTGTAAACAGCTTAGTTCAGGGACTGGTGTACAAGCTGGCCACCCATCTCGGCCTCTCATCCAGTTGAGGCTCTGGCCACACTGTGCATGTGACTTCTAGCTTTTCGGCAATCTGAGGTCAGCTGGCTCTGCAAGATGAAGGTGGAGCCAAATGACACAATCTGGTCTCACTGAGGCCCCTCACGGTCATTTTTTGCAGACTCTGGTTCTGCAGGCCTGGCTGCGGGAGGGTCCATCACCTGGGAGCTCTGATTTGGATTTCGAATCCCTCCACAGGGTAGATGCCAGGTGTATTCCGGCAGATGGAAGAGGCTCGAGTTGGGGAGTGGGGGCGGGTGCTCCATGGCCATGGGGGGAGGCGGGTAGCGGATCTGGGACCAGTCCTCGAAGCCGTGGTGTGGTACCATGGCTGGCATGGGTGGGTAGGCGTAAGGGTAGGCACCGCAGAGGTGTTCCGGGTGGGGCTCCACATGGTAGTGCTCTCCAGAGGCCTTTGCTTTCCTCTTCTGCTATCTGAGGGCTTCTCTTGCCTTCTCCTCATCTTTGAACGCTTTTAGCTGGGCATTCGACAGGGTGACCTGGGCCTGCAGCTTCTCCACTTGCTTCTTCAGCTCTTCCTTCTCCTCATTCATGAGATCACAATCACTGCGCTCCCTCTGGAAGTCCTCCTCAAAGATCTTCATCTGCTGTTTCAGTAACTCGTTGTGCGTGACCAGCTCCTGTTTCCTTAGGAGGCCCCCTGCTCCTTCTGGGCTCCCAAATGCTGTTGGTGGAGATGATGGGGGGGCTTGGATACTCAGTGCCTCCTCCAGGGCCTTGTTGAGCCGCTGGATCTCTTTCCTCGTACTCGTGCTGCTGGGTGAGCGGGCTCAGCTGATCCTGTAGGTACTTGACCTTTTGGCGCAGCTCCTTGGCCTCCGCTGTCAGCTGTTCCTTGTCGGTCTCCTCCATTTCAATGTTGGACTTGGCCATAAGGAGCTTGCGGTCAAAGTCACGCTGCTTCTGCTCCCGCTCAGCCTCAATGAACATCAAGGATGTTCGTCGTGGCAACATTGCTGGTGACAGCAAGAACGACCCACCAATGGAAGCAGCTGGCTTCACTGCTCAGGTGATTATCCTGAACCATCCAGGCCAAATCAGTGCTGGCTATGCCCCTGTACTAGATTGCCACACGGCTCACATTGCCTGCAAGTTTGCTGAGCTGAAGGAAAAGATTGATTGCCGTTCTGGTAAAAAGCTGGAAGGTGGCCCTAAATTCTTGAAGTCTGGTGATGCTGCCATTGTTGATATGGTTCCTGGCAAGCCCATGTGTGTTGAGAGCTTCTCAGACTATCCACCTCTCGGCTGCTTTGCTGTTCGTGATACGAGACAGACAGTTGCTGTGGGTGTCATCAAAGCAGTGGACAAGAAGGCTGCTGGAGCTGGCAAGGTCACCAAGTCTGCCCAGAAAGCTCAGAAGGCTAAATGAATGTTATCCCTAATACCTGCCACCTCAGTCTTAATCAGTGGTGGAGGAAGAACGGTCTCAGAACTGTTTGTTTCAATTGGCCATTTAAGTTTAGTAGTAAAAGACTGGTTAATGATAACAATGCATCGTAAAAACTTCAGAAGGAAAGGAGAATGTTTTGTGAACCACTTTAGTTTTCTTTTTTGCTTGTGGCAGTTTTAAGTTATTAGTTTTTAAAATCAGTACTTTTTAATGGAAACAACTTGACCAAAAATTTGTCACAGAATTTTGAGACCCATTAAAAAAGTTTAATGAGAAAAAAAAAAAATATTTGTAAGAGAGGACAAAAACAGATGGAAAAACATTCTATCCTCATGGATAGAAATAGTCAATATTGTGAAAATGGCTGTACTGCCGAAGTAATTTATAGATTCAGTGCTATTCCCATCAAACTACCATTGACATTCTTCACAAAATTAGAAAAAAACTACTTTAAAATTCATATGGATTCAAAAAAGAGCCTGCATAGCCAAGACAATCCTAAGCAAAAATAATAAAGCTGGAGGCATTACACTACCTGACTTCTAACTATACTAAAAAGCTGCAATAACCAAAACAGCATGGTACTGGTACCAAAACAGTTTATATAAACCAATGGAACATAATAGAGACCTCAGAAATAAGGCCACATGTATACAACCATCTGATCTTCAACAAACCAGACAAAAACAAGAAATGGGGAGGATTCCTACTTAATAAATGGTGCTGTGAAAGCTGGCTAGCAATATGCAGAAAACTGAAACTGGACCCTTTCTTACACTTTATGCAAAAATTAATTCAGGATGGATTTAAGACTTAAATGTAAAACCCAAAACCATAAAAACTCTAGAAGAAAACCTAGGTAATACCATTCAGGACATAGGCATTGACTAAAATTTTATGATGAACTTGCCAGAAGCAATTACAAAAAAAACTAAAATTGAAAAATGGGATCTAATTAAAGATCTTCTGCACAGCAAAAGAAACTGTCATCAGAGTGAACAGGCAACCTACAGAACGGGAGAAAATTTTTGCAATCTTCACATCCAACAAAGTACTAATATCCAGGATTTACAAGGAACTTAAACAAATTTCCAAGAAAAAAAAACCATCAAAAAATGAGCAAAGGATATGAACTGGCACTTCTCAAAGGAAGACATTTATGTGGCCAGCAAACATGAAAAAAAGCTCAATATCACTGGTCATTAGAGAAATGCAAATCAAAACCACAATGAGATACCATTTCATACCAGTCAGAATGGTGATTATTAAAAAGTCAAGAAACAACAGTTGCTGGTGAGGCTGTGGAGAAATAGGAATGCTTTTACACTGTTGGTGGGAAACTTGAATTAGTTCAACCATGTGGAAGACAGTGAGGCAATTCCTCAAGGAACCTGAACCAGAAATACCATTTGACCTAGAAACCTCATTACTGGGTATACACCCAAAGGAATAGAAATCATTCTATTATAAAGATATATACACAAGTATGTTTATTGCAGCACTGTTCACAATAGCAAAGACATGGACCCAACCCAGATGTCCATCAATGATAGACTGATAAAGAAAATGAGGTACATATACACCATGAAATATAAGGCAGCCATAAAAAGGAATGAGATGATGTCCTTTGCAGAGACGTGAATGAAGATGGAAGCCATCATCCTCAGCAAACTAACACAGAGAAAATCAAAAATTTTGTGTTCTCACTCATAAGTGGGAGTTGAACAAGGAGAACACATGGACACAGGAGGGGAATAATACACACCAAGGCCTGTCAGGGAGTGGTGGTGAAGGAAGGGAGAGCATCAGGAGAAATAGCTAACGTATGTGGTGCTTAAAATTTAAGGGATGGGTTGATAGGTGCAGTAAACTATCATGGCACATGTATACCTGTATAAGAAACCTGCACATTGTGCACATATATCCTGGAACGTAAAATGAAATAAAAAAAATTAAAAAACAAAGCTGGAGGCATTACACTACTTCTATTTAAAAATACTGAAATAGAAAGAAACGTATAGACCAATGGAACAAAAGAGAACCAAGAAATCTATGCATTTATGGTATATTTTTGACAAAGTTTGCAAGGACACACAATGGGAAAAACACACTTTCATCCATAAATGATAAAACTCGTTATTCACATGCAAAAGAATGAAACTGAACCTGTACCTCACACCGTATGCAAAAATCAGTTCAAAGTGGATTAAAGACTTAAATCTGGGACCTGAAAATGTGAAACAGTTAGAAGAAAACAGGAAAAATTCTTCTTAACAATAGTCTTGGCAATTATTTTTGTACAAAATCTAAAAATGAACACAGGCAATGAGAGCAAAAATAGACAAAGATTTCATCAAACTAAAAGCTTCTGCACAGCAATGAAAACAACATAGAATGGTTGAAAATATTTGCAAACCCTGCATCTGTTTAAGGGGTTAATATCCAAAATTTATAAGAAACTCTATTCAATGACAAGAAAACAAACAAATTTGAAAATGGGCAAAAGGCTTGAATATACATTTCTCCGGAGAAGACATAGAAATGGCCAACAGATTCATGAAAAAAATGTTCAACATTCCTAAACATCAGAAAAATACAGTTTAAAACCACAATGACTTATCATTTCACACCTGTTAGAATGGCTATCATCAAAAAGACAGGAAGCTCTGGTGAGGATGTAAAGGCAAGGGAACCCTTGTACACTGTTGGTGGAGGACACATTGGTATAATCATTATGAAATACACTATAAAGCCTCCTCAAAAAATTTAAAAACTACCGTATGATCCAAAATTTCCTTTTTTGATTATATATCCAAAGGAACAGAAATAGGTATCTTGAAGGGGTATCTGCACTTCTGTGTTCATTGCAGCATTATTCACAATAGCCGTGATATGGATCAACCTAAATGTCCACTAATGGAGGAATGGATAAAGAAAATGTTATATGTATGCATACAAAAGAATATTTTGTTTCAGCCTTATATGTAAAATCCAAAAATGTTGAACTTAGAAGCAGAGAGTAGAATAGTTGTTGCCAGGGGTTGGGAGTGAGGGGAATGTGGAGGTATTAGTTAAAGCGTACAAAGTTTCAGTCAGGGTGAATAAATTCTAGAGAGCTAATGTACACCGTGGTGGCCATAGTAAATAATACTTTATTGTACATTTGAAGTTTGATAAAAGAGTAGATCTTATGTGTTCCCACCATACAACCCACCCAAAAGTTAATTATGTGAGGTGATAGCTATGGTAATTAGCCTGATTATAATTACTTTGCAATGTATACGTTAAAGTGTCACTAGGTACACTGTGAATATTTACAATTTTTATTAATCAGTGTTAACTCAAAGCTGGCAAATACATACAGGAAGAATAGCTATGAAATAATTCTGGATGCAACAACAATTTATATCAGAAATCAGCCGTAGAAACAACTTTACAGTTCTCTCAATTACTATTTACCCTAACAACATTACATCCAGACAATTGTTGATATTTATTTATGTCACTCCTGAATATTTTTATGAACTTTTTAAAAGTGAGCTTTATGGTAGATGAATTATATCTTATCAAACTGTTAGAGTCTAAACCACAGATTAAAAAAATAAAATAGCCACACAGCCATATCTATTACCAAAGACAGTTAAGTACAGCCCTACCATATTCCTGGAAGGAGAAGCAGAATATTAGTTCATAGCTTTAATAGCTGTCACAGTGATATTTTTCTTTTTTTTTTCCAAATTCTATTATAGGCAATTTATTATCAAAGTTTGTTTTACTGCCTGATAAATAACCAATGTATGGTATTCAAAGAAATTGTTGATTTTTTTTTTTTTTTTTTTGAGACGGAGTTTCGCTCTTGTTACCCAGGCTGGAGTGCAATGGCACGATCTCGGCTCACCGCAACTTCCGCCTCCTGGGTTCAGACAATTCTCCTGCCTCAGCCTCCTGAGTAGCTGGGATTACAGGCACACGCCACCATGCCCAGCTAATTTTTTTTTTGTATTTTTAGTAGAGACGGGGTTTCACCATGTTGACCAGGATGGTCTCGATCTCTTGACCTTGTGATCCACCCGCCTCGGCCTCCGAAAGTGCTAGGATTACAGGCTTGAGCCACCGCGCCCGGCCAGAAATTGCTGATTTTATTACTGAAATCTCAGAATTCTGATGCAGAGATTCCAAATACAATTTTTACATAAACAAATATGGACAGAAAATACCCAGATATTTTTATACACACAGTCTTTATCTCTAATGTTTGTGTTTGCAATGCCCTGTCAGGAGTAAAAATGGAGGTTCACATACTGTATACCTGAATATTTAGGACGGTTAAATCAAGCTAAGAAACTTTTCTTACCTCAGCAAATATACCTAAGGTTCCTAGGATTCTTGGACTCCTTAGAGCCCCACACTAGTGAATGGCAACTCGGGGAGAACAGGTCTCTGTCTCAATACTGTTATTTCCCAAGGATAAGTGACCCCAGCTTTTGTAGAGGTGCTCTTTGACCAGCTCAGGCCTTTAGAATGAGCTCTTTCAATTGTTCATCCACCCTCTGTAAACAGATCAGGAAGGAGCTGAAAGAGGTTCTCCAGGTGAAGAGAAGTACATCTCAGGTCCCTCAGGTCTTACCTGGCAGGGAGTGGCATGAGAGGAGTATACAGCTTCATTCTCAAGAAAAGGGTCCAGAATGGGATCCCCTTTTCCTGGATTTAAGGGATTTTTTCTGTAAGCAACAAAATTTTGACTGAAAACATCTAAAATGTCTTTATGAGGTTTGGTATGCCACCTTGTGGTACTGTTCAAAGCATTATGTAGAAGGAAATGGAGATTCTGAACTATAATAAAGGAATATTCTATTTTCAATGGGAATAATTTCCTTGTTTAAAAAGTTATCTTAAAATATGATTACCATTTCAACTGTAAAATTTTATTGTATTACCATTAAAAAGAGTAACTCACTGAGATTTATAAAAGAAAACATATTACATTTTTAAACTATGCAATTCATTTATATATTCAAATAAGATATACATTAAATGCCTAGTATGTTCCAGGTACTTTTCTGGCGCTGAAGTTGTATCAGTTACCAATAAAAATTCCTGTTCTCCTAGAACTTATATTCTAGTAAAATAATAAAACAGTGACCAGTAATTCTTATGAATGCATTTCTTCACTTACAGCTAATGTGAAAATTTTACTTGCAGATTTTTGCACAGACATCTTATTGGGATCCCTATCTTAAGCTGTAAAAAGCATAAGTATTCCATTCTGCTGATTTTATGACTGTG